AGTTCTCACAAGAGGTTCAGCCACACAGCATCTGATCATTAATGTCCATCAAGCATTTTGGCTTGTGTCCAGCTTGCTAAACAGAATGGTGTCATGGCAATAAGATGAAGGGCCCTGCGCCGACACAGGCAGAAAGCCAAAATTTTCCATGTAGACTTCCCTGCCTCTTAGGTTGTATTAAGGATGACCTGCCCTGTTGCTGATTTGGACTACCTTATGGGTACTGCAGAACAACCAACATAAAGCATGCGGTTGGCGAGACTTTTGGAGAGGTGAGATAACCAGCTCTTTGAAACCCTGCAACATAAAATATCAACAGGGGTATTATATCCAGAAACTTGACTATTAGGTCTTTGCCAAACAGCAGTGAAAGAACAAGTCAGAATATCTGAAATGCATTACTCTCCAAATGATGTTGAGACTGATCCCAGAACAACAGGCTTATTTGTATGAATAGAAATGAACCAGTCTGAATGTTGTATCACAGAGCCATGAATCAGCGAGTCTAAGTCTCTCAAATTCTTATACCATTGTGCTTATAGATTGTGAGATACAGACAGTCATCTTAAAATCTAATGGGACTTTGGTTTTATGTTTCCAAATCAAGGAAAGGCTTTTGTGTTCTCCCTTTTGTCCCAGACTCAGCACAGTCTTATTACATGATTTGGCCACACTCATGTTTTGCAATGCTAACTCTGTTTGTTCTTGAACACAGGGTGAAATGTGACATTGCATACCTAATCTTTTCTTGAATATGTTACTTTTGGATATACTGCCCTTCGTTTGATTTTTTTCAGGAAAGTTTTGCATGATTATAATGGAATTATTTTTGAGATTATTAGGTCTACAACTTCTAATACATTGGTATTTAAAACACAAGCCTCTAGAATTTTCCACCCTTATGACTACACTATTTCCAAGAAAAGGATCTTGTCAACTGGAAGCATGATATAAAGAGAGCTTTTATATTTGCATAGAAATTGTTTGATAGCAAAGTCTCCAAGGTTTCTCTTTGAACTCAAGTATGCAAATTTAATAGAATTAAACAAAATACCCCAAAGATGACAGAAAATCACGGTACTTGAGACAGGTTTAAAAATTGGTTTCCTCTTTCTTTACCTTGATCCTGGGCAGAATTTTAAAAACGTATTTAACTTGTGGTTAGGTTGTCATTTCATAAACTCAGTTATTATTCAGTATCCTTTCTTCAAATAGATTTGTCTATTTCAATTCATGGCATGTGCTGTCTCTGTGGGACTCTACGGAAAAACTGTACAGTCATTTATCTTTGTTATTTTCTGTAGGATTTGGAAGGAGTAATCATATTAGCTCAGCAGATTTAAAAATAATAATATTCCTAAAACACTCTGCATGAGCTGTTAATTGGAATAATATGCGCTAAAGATAAACCAGGCATTTTTTTCATGGATTCCAGTCTCTCAGCAAACTGAATAAGGAACTGTGGCTCTTGCATCCATTTCATATTTACTTCATGAGTATGATTTAAAAAAAGTAATAATTCAGTTTAATTATTCTCTAATCAAAGTTATTATTCAGTACCACCTTTGATTTTCCTAATTAAACAAGCTGAGAATAATTTCCTTTTCAGATGCTTTTAAAAAATCTTGACACGTCCCTTTGCTGTCTCATTTTTAAAAATTGTGTATGCATATGCACAATAAATGAAGAATATCAATCTTGAACCTTTGTGTAGATCTGAAATAAGGTCTTGCCAAATTTTCCTGTACCAATGTTACTTTAATTTACATCACAGATGCTACACTAGATGTAATACTGTTGTTGTTCAGTTCTATATTCCTAAAAAAGGAAGGTCAAGATCTGTACACAATGTAGTAAGCATTTTTGTCTGCCTATTATTATTTGCACAATTACTGTGACTGCTTGGGGAAATCTATGTTTGGCTGAGTATCTAGTCATTACCTTGGACAATGATGTGATTTTAGGAATATTTTGGCACAGAGGTAATTTGTCTTTTTTTCCTCCCATTTGCCTCATCTTTTAAAATGACACATCTTATGACAGTGTAAGGCAATATAGTAGCTTTATCTGAACATGGAAAGGCATGGTTTATTAAAAAGAACAAGAACAGGTTAATCTTAAAGTAATTTTTGGCCTGGAAACTAAGCCTATTAAGGAAGGTGGCAATTGAGACATACATATACAATCTTTCAGTCTATATTACATTTAAAGAATGAAAATTAGACATTAACCTTAAACATTTTGTATTTCTGATCAGTATGATTTTATGTAAGTTTTAAAGAGAACTTTTATTTCCTTAGTAGAATTGAAAAAGCTTTTGTAATCAGAGCTAGACAAAATTTCTGAATACGTGGAAATATTTAGATCTACTCAACTCTGCATGGGCAACTTTGAGCAGAACAAAAAGTTGATAAAATGAGATAGAAGCTAAACTGTAAAAATAATAATTTGACTTGCATCAAATATGACTTCTACTATTTCTCAAAAAAGTATACCAAACTCTTTTTCTGCATTGTTATCAGAAAAAAGACCACCTCAGAATTTAAATGAAATAATATGTTTCCACTGTATACTGGTACTTACTAGAAATATAGAACAATGTGCTGGTAAAATGAAATTCATCTGGGTTCTGTAGGGTATCCTCTCATACTACAGCTATAATAATAACAACAGTGGAACAATAAGGCTTGTAGGCAAGATCCACGCTCTTGGCAAATTATTCCACGTTCTTGATTTATACCGGATTTATCCCCTCTTCAGTGGATCCCCACTTCAGTGAGGAAATGGCTGAGTTCTTCTGGTGCAGAAATTTGGGCTGAACTTTTTGTGATTGTCTTACCTACATGAAATATGACATTTAAACTAATACACATATATGTTTAAACATAAAACTTATTTTGTTCAAGTCCCCCTGCATTCTGCAGTTCCATTAGGGTCCCCTTCATCACTTTATTGTTTTTCTTCTCTGTGGTCACTGTCAAACAGCAGTAAACTCTAGCTGGGTGATGGGGAGCGCTTATACGCCATCTGATGATGAGTAGGAAGCAGTAATGGAGATGCATTTTGCCTTCTACATACCTGTTATATTGCTCTAAGAGCACTTCAATAACTATTTTAATAATGATTACTGAATACAGCAGAGCTCTCTGGGTCGGAATCTATTAGTGTCCCTAAATGTGTTTAACTGCTAAGCCCCTGGAATTTCTCATGGGGTAAAGTTAAGTACATGCTTGAGTATTTTGTTATGCCAGGCTTCACATGTTACATATGTTACAAAAAGCAAAAGCGTTAATCTGCAGCTCCACACTGAATGGTCTGCGTATGACCCAGTGAAAGGAAGGCAGTGGTCTGTGGCTGCGTGGTTAGTAAAGCACTCACAGAACTGAGTCGAGACATGTCTTTAATATCACATAGCATAGAAAGCACACAGTCCCTTTCATTAGTTTAGCATTTCAGTAATTGCTTTTCATAACTTACCTGCTGGGTAGCTGAGCATGTATTATTATGCACATTTGGGGCGGGGGGACAGGGGCGAGAGTAAGGAATTTATGCAACTTTATTGAGGAAACCAAAATAAGCCAGGGATGCAGCTGTGATTAGATGTGAATTCACACCTCCTAGGCTTGTGCTGCTTGGCAATGTTTATGGTGATACGGGGTATCAATTTTACAATGTATTATTTATTTACAACTGACAGTCAAGTATACTGTAAATCTGAAACATAGCACTGTGCATACAGACTGTCAGCTTGACCAGGTGCTCTTGTAACTCTGTCTACTACCACTCTGCACCCATTGTCCCTGTTTGCTGTTATGACTGCTTTTTATGGTATACCTTAAATTAGTATAGTCTCTCAGTGGCAGACACTCTCTCTTACACGCGGCACAAATCTTCCAGCCTGAATGTTAGCTATAGTTTGCTAAAATCAGTCTTGGCACACCTGGTTAAAAAACTTACTGACTTCAATAACTGCACTTTCCAATCTTGCTGCACAGTGTTACCATATTCCAGTAACTAGGTTCCAGTTCCACTTTGGTCCAACAGTTTCAGTCTCTTTAAACAAATGTTTTGTATTAATCCCCTCTTTTCTGATCCTACAGCCACCCACCACTGAACTAGCAAGTCTCCTGCTGCATTTAAAACAGTGCTCAGACCTTCAAGTGCAAAGCTTTAAAATCCTTTCCACCAGTCCTATATAGTGGAAAGAGGTGTGAGTGCTGGAAGATGAGGAATTCCCTAATCTATTTAACAGGCAGGAGGGTAAAAGGAAGAATGAAAAATTGGCCTCTGACATCAAAAGTTCCTCTAAATACTCATTTCCTTCTGTGGTCTTATTTGTTTGACAGTAAATTATTAAAGAAAATTGAAAAGGTCTTAGATGTTTTCATATAGGGGTGTTTGGGATTTTGTGTGTTGTATTATTGAAGATCTCTGGGCTATATCACAGAGAAAACATAATAGCATAAAAAGTAGGGAAATGTATACGCAAGTTATAAATAGGGTGTAACTTCTCTGAGACCAGACAGAAACTCTAAAAGAAACATGGTTATAGGCTTTTCTAGCCCCCAACTCCTATTAAAATCAGCAAACTTCCATTAAGAAGTTAAACAAAACAAAGCAACAAAAGAAAGGAAGGAAGAAGGAAAAACAGTCAAGGCTTTTGCTTTAAAATTTCATTGCAATTCAGATTGGATGACTTGGCACTGCTGTGCAAAGTAGCATTTTTCAGTCTTATTTTTTCTTGCAGAATTACATCATTACCTCAGAGCAGTTTTAAAGGACAGTGAGGACGATGTATTCCTTCAAGAATATGATACTTCAAGAAGGACTGACCATCAGAAGGAAAATGCATTTTTAGTTTTAGGCAAAGGGAGCTTTTCTTCTTTCCTTCAGAATCCTTTCCTCTTCCCCATGCTGTGCACTTGCATGTACAGGACACGTGTACCCTTACACTTGCACACAAGAGCAGATCTAGGAGATGCACTTTGATGCCAACCTACCATTCTGATGCCGTTCTCAAAGGCCTGACGTGCCAGAGAAGCAGGTCCGTCCACAGTCTTACCGTCGTCATCAGGCCCCCAGCTGGCACTGTAGATGTGGATGTGCTGGGGATTAAGGCTTAGAGACTTTGCTTCTACCATGTCTGTCACGTCTCCGTCCAGCATTCGTACACCTTCAGAATGAAAGATACAATGAACAGGACCAAGCAACCCAAAATGCTTCTTTTTTTTTGTTTTTTTCTCCCAGAGAAAATTGTTGTGTAGGACATTGGACTGAATGATCATAAGGATTTCTACTGTTGTTAAAAAAAACCCCAAACCTGTTTGGATATGTGTTTTTCCAATGGAAAAAAAGTCTCTAGATGAAAAAATACAGAAAAGGAAGGAATATTTTGGTCTTTCTTCAAGTTTTAAAAATTATCTACAAGTCATTTATCCACTATACAGCCTTCGAACTTCAACAACAAACCTTAACGCTGAAGAAAACTTAAAAAAATACTTGAACCTTGAAATGTTTGTATGTCTCACTTGAAGATAATACTTGATTTTCTTTCTCCTTTTATACTGCAGGGAAACTGCAACACCTAATTTGAGTCATTCACAGTCCTAAGTATGTTGACAGATGTAATAAAAGGATCTCTGCTCACAGATGAACATGGGATTATTCCTTCATTGTATGAGGCCACAAAGAAGAAACTGGGGAGAAAGCCCATGTGTACAGACTGATTACCATACACAGTAGCAAGGCAATTACAGGAAGTTACTAACAGATACCCTATATGTAACATTATTCAACTTGAAACTACAATATTGTGAACATCCTCCTCTGTGCAGAAGAAGCTTTTGTAAGGTATAATCTGAAATTCTTGCGTTAAAAGAATTCATTCATGTGGGTTTGGACAAGTTGGTGTGACAGCCCTTCTAAAGTGAATGGCATCAGGATGTTTTAAGATCACTAGACTGAATAAGGTAGGCTTAAATCTGGAAACTCAGAAAATCTTGAAGTTTTTCTTTTGACTAACTGTAAAACTTTGACTGAAGTTAATTCTGACTAAGAAAACCACCGATGCCAGTTTTAAACTAAACAAGAAAAAGGACCTACATACAGCTAGCGTGACATCTGGCCAAAGGGATGTTAAATATTAAATAATAATTAGCACGTAACTGTACGTTAGTACAGAGTAATGATGACTTCCACAATTAACAAATTTGACACTCCCCTTTAAAAGGCCACTGCTATTTATAAGCCAAATTTACATATTTTTAATTACAGACACATTTCATTTTGCTCATTAGCTCAGACTGAAGTAACTGGAGTGTTTACCAAGACCTTAATTTCCAATTAACAAAAGGTAAAGGGGGTGTTTTGTTGATAAAGCGTCTTTTTTTTTCCTTACTCTAATTGACTCAAAAATGAAAAGTGATCATATTTCTAAGTTCACACAAAAGCTGCCCATGTTTTGTGAGATAATAAACTTTTACAAACAGTGATCTCACTATGAACTTTACTTTATAAAAAAAGTCATTAAACCAACTCTGGGATTCTCAGGTTTTATTTTTCTTCCTCAGTATAATCTGAAAATTAATGATGGGTGGAAGCTGTGTTCTCAATTCCTTTCAAGCACATTAAAATATATTTAGTTCTAAATAAAGACAATAAAAGGTACATCGCTTTTGAAAGAAGGAAAATAAAGCTTCCCTTTATAGACATGTTACTGCGTAGCAAACATAAATAATACTACATGCACCCGGTGAACAATAACTCCAAATTCTGCCATTGGCACCTGAAGTAATTCACACCAGGTTTTTTTGCTAATGGTGAAGAGGTCAAATCTAAAGCAACACAGACAAGGCTGTGACTTAGGTGTTGCTCTCTCTGGCCAATAACTGACAGACGTGCTTCAATGGTGACTTTGAACAGCAGACATCTCATTGACTATTTAAAGAAAAAATAATTCCTTTCTTTCTCTCTCCTTCCTTCCTTTCTTTCTTTCTTTTTTTTCCAAAATGTCTGGAGTAGTTACTTCTGCCGATCACAAAACCTCCAAACTGCATTTGGCATGTGGTGATAGCGCAACAAAAGCTGTCCAGAAGGCAATTAACAGACTGCGTTTGCAGACTGTTCCACCTAAGACTTTAGAGCTCCGTACACTTTTTCCAATACTTGCAGTAATTGCCAAAATGTAGGTGGCATTTTAGTCAGAACAAAGTTTCAGTGAATCACAGGAAACATGCAAAACTGAGCTGAAAGCAAGTTTTCTTTTAAAATGTTTGTTTTTAATCAGCATCTGACTTAAACTTAAAGAAACAGCTGAACTAATTCCTCATCAGCTGAAGACAATCTACATCTGTTGTGCCATAATTCAGTGTAACTGTTTTCCTGTCAGGACTCAAGCCCAGCCAAGTAACTAAGCATCCAAATCCCCACAGATGCTTTGCAACTTCCACAATCAGTCTGCAACAATACCAACTGGCTAACCACCCCTTCCTATAAAAAGTCTCACAAGCTCCGTAGGTGGTAATTTGCTACGTGTGATTACTGCAGAGAGTCACATTAAAAAAAAGATCTACCCCTTTGGTGCACTGGTTTGTCTTTCAGTGAAAGGGCCTGTAGCTTAGCTAAGCACAAGCTGCAGGCATAGTGCATAATTTTTTTTTTTAAGAAACATCCCACAACCTCTAAAAGAACTGAAGCTGCAGATTGTAATTTTACTCACATTTCCTTATCTGCAGATTACATCCCCACTTACACCATTGTAAAAGAAGGCTCAGACCCTCTAAGGATCTTATTTTGGACCTATTTGTGGTGAGAGGGTCTTAAATGTGTGGAAATGAGACAAGGACTACAAACACATTTAGAAAAAAAGTGAGCATTACTGGTGGATATCTTGTTAACAACTTTCTATCACAAAGATCATTAATCAGATTTGTTCAGCTGCCAGTATTTGATGGAAAAGATTTCTTTTCCCCTTTGCTTTATCTCCTTACTATACCTTATGTGTCCAGAGATGCTTTTTCGTTTGAAAAAAAGTATACTTATCTTGGTGGAGCGAATTCAACACCACTGTTGGCAGGTGTTCCTTGGTGTACGGAGAATGTAATTGCTTTACCTTGACTCTAGTTTCTTCTTCAAGAAGGCCCAAGGAGGGTCTTTAAATCCCTGGGAAACAAGCAAGCTGAACGCTAGTTCAGCATAATATGATTCAACATTTTTACACTCTATCTGGCCTGTGGAGCAGGAACACAACCACTGCATATTCACACGTGTAGCTTATGGCTTTTCTGAGGGAAGGGAGGGAGGCATGCCAAATAGAGGTCAGCAGCAGTGAAACTCTTAAATATATACACCTAGTGGAACGGGGAAGCTTAACCTCCCTTCCTGATACCCTGGAATTCCCTCTTGCCTCTGACTTTCTGCAGATCATCTGCTGAGCCTCCTGAAGTCTTATTTTTAAGTGCTGTTGCTTTTAAAAGGTGGTACATTACCTCAAGTGCAGTTTACATGCTGTTATTACTTTCCAGCTTTCTTTTAAGAACAGTGTTAGTGATGGCTCTGCAGAATCATGGTGACAAACGGAGTGGACAAAATTTTTATTTCACTTAGACTAGTGAAATTTTTCGAAGGCTGTTGTATTCTTTGTACAAATCAAATCAAATAAATAAATAAATAAATAAATAAATAAATA